TATTGATGATATATGTGAGAGGCTAAACGTCTACATAGCCGATATTGTTAACTACTTCCATCTGAGGAATATGAAAATATCCACCACCAAATCAACAGCCACACTGTTCACCACATGGACGGCTGAAATGAAGCTCCCACTGAACATAATGGTCGATGGAGAATTGATTCCGACCACCAACTACCCCAAGATATTGGGAGTAACGTTCGACAGCCTTTATGGACAGGACTCCCCCACCCAGGCACGTCAGATCAGATTTTCATGATCTAAAGAGAGAGGTCCAAAGGTACAAGCGTGAACCTCTAGATCAAGAAGCCTATCAAGCAGGTCTGAATGGTATTCACACGGATGCAGTCGCTCAGGCAGTAGAGCAATATCGAGTGAATACCATAATTGGAGACCACCCCCCATCCATCGCAGCTGAGGAGAAGCAGCTGCCAAGGCAAACATGAGTAGTCTTAGCTCAACTAAGATCAGGATGGTGCAACCGCCTCAATTCATATTGGGCAAGAATTGACGGCTCGATACCTAACACATGTCCGGCATGTGAACTAGGACCACCTACTCACCTATCGCCGAATTCACTTTGTACGCAACCCGCTGAAGTTGCAGCATTCCTGAATGCATGACATAACGACATGTATTCTGTTGCTACAACAACAACCATGAATGGACCAGAACGTGTATCGGTGCTGTTATAAGGGGGCTGTACTAAACGGTAAACCGATGTTGATAATTTTTGGTAGGTTGATTCAAAATATCGAAATAGGGGATGTAGACTTATATGGGGCCTATCCTATGAAGTTAATACTTTTTAGTACAGAAAATTATTACTCAATGAGTAAACAAGTTACAGCCATATCCATAAGCTTCAAATTCGAAGATTAGGGGTACCGTTACATACAAAACATCCTAGGAGTCTTAACAATGTATATGCCAAATTTCGTAATTCTAAAATCGGACCATATTTTATTCAGTTGGGAAATACCTATAAACTATTATAATGGGCCTGTGTAGTCAACTGAAAAACATATCTGAAATGCTCAAAGTAATGAAATTATATGGGGGCCCATACTTGATCATGGACCGATATTTGTAATTTGTAATTGAAATTTTTTGCCAAACTAATACTGGTATGAGAAATGGGGTCTCTGGGCTCAAGATTTTAAATCAAATTGGTAGTAATTTGAAACAAAGATTTATTTATGGGTACCAAACATCCATGCAAAACTTTATTGAATTTGTCCTCGTTTTCTGATTATAAATGTGTCTAAGAGACAGAAAATACGTAAAATCAGGAAGCACGTTTACATGAGAGCTATATCAAATCTTGGACCCAGAGACCCCATTTCCTATACCAGTATTAGTTTCGACATTAAAAACATGTTAGCCAAATTTTGACCGCCTATAACAAGTGGTTCGCCAGGTCTTAAATATTGAGAGAAGTATTGGCATGGCTAAATCGAGTATTTATGGGGTCTGCGATGAATATTTTATAGTGTTGTATGCCAACTTTACCACATTATTGTGGAGTGTGGTACAAAAATATTGATTTCAAATGAAAGAACAATTTTTTTCAGTTTATCACTTTGGTCATCTAAAATTTATTCAAATCCATTATCTCTGATTTACTTCTTCAACAAAACTGGAGCAGCGGCGAAGGTGGTGGCTACTGGAGCAGCAACAGCGGCGGCAGGGGCAACAGCATAGGTGGTTGGGAAGGCAGCTGAGTGGACAATGGTGTGGGCATTGTAGCTGCTGGCATAGGGGGCAACATAGGCAGCACTACCGACGACGGCGGGGGCAGCGTGATAAGCCAATGGAGCAGAGTAGGCCAAGGGAGCAGAGTAAGCCACGGGAGCGGTATAAGCCAAAGGAGCAACTACACCGGGTTTAGCAGCAGCAACAGCCAAGAGGGCGAAGAAGCAGACAGCGATCTGAAATACAAATTTTAGAAATTAGTACCTCCGCCAGATATTCGTTTAATATCCGCTAAATTACTTACGAATTTGAACATTTTGTTAAGGTTTAGATTATTTCTTTTGATTGACAATATGAAATTGATACTGTATTGCCAGATGTGAATGATATTTATACGTTTATTTTGTGTAAACACACACGTTAAGGCACACACTCACACAACTACTTTGTATGCGTGTCTGGTGCGTCAATGTGTTTTTTTTTTTAGTTAATTACAATACAATTTAATTTGAATCGTAAACGTTGAACACAACTTAAGTATTTCAGGAAAAATAATATATGGAAGTGTAAGGCCACAGGTGGTCTCACCATTGCTGTTACTACTTTTTACCAATGAAAATCTTGCCAAGCTTATCTCTATCATTTATGATTATTTCCGTTCGCTTTATTACTCTTGGTGATGATCGAAGTCCTGAAATTACACGTAATGTCCTTCAATGCAAAATACGGCTATATATATTATTCAAAGATGTGGATATATCAGAGCGACAGGGAATGTGAATTGATAAAATACATCGACCTTTGAAAGAAGAATATACTCCTGTTGAAGCTGAGCATTAACATTTCAATAAATTTCCAAAGAATCTCAAAAAATTGGCCTTAACTTATGTGATATGTTAAAACGTTGAGCCATAGATTTTTAGCAAAGAGATTTTTATCATCTTGAACCCGAAATGTCAAATGGCTGACAAATGGGTTTAACAATTAAGCTCATAATTTGGCATTTCTAAAAACCTGGGGAGACATTTATATTGGAGCTATCTCCAAGCATAAACCTATAATTAACAAGCAATAACGTCATTAAGTTCACTCGGCCCGATTTATATTTTCACTCTATCGAAAAATTGACATTCAAAATATCGAAAATCTATAGCGAGCTATGCCATGACAAATTACTGCATTGAGAATAAATACCAACCTGGAGACACTCAGGTCGAAAATTGGGATAAAATCTTGAACATATCGAAATTGACGCGTGACCTTTGTAGGGGGTCACAATGGACTTATATTCAAAATGTTATGTGAGGAAATTGTTTACACTCAAAACTCCGGAATTACCACATTACTGTTACTTCGTAATGCTAAAACGTAGTCACATCGATTGGAAAATGAGTCTAACAGCCTGTTTTTGTAAAATTCCAAACGAATGAATTCGAGTGACTTACGACCAAAATCCTTGGTTTTGAAAAATATGCCATTTATTTTTGTTTTGAATCAGAAAACATTTATAAACATAAATAAAGGTTTGGTCTAAGTCACTCGAATTAGTTCGTTTGGAATTTTACAAAAACAGGCTGTAAGACTTAAAAATTCCTATATACCGAAATATCGATCGGAGATTATTCGCCCCCATTGAGACCTTAATCTATTAAATTAGACTTTGGGTATACTGTACATAAGATCCTTATAGCTTAGACAGACGACAGCCTTAATTTGCATTAACAGCCTTAATTCAAATTAACTTGTACATTATCCTTATGCATGTCCGTCTGTCCGTCCGTCCATGTATTTTTGTTAACAAAGTACAGGTCGCGTTTATGATCCGATTTGGATGAAATTTGGCACAGGTCACATGATTGGCCCAAGGACGAACCCCATTGAAACTGGAGAACATCGGTTCAGATTTAGATATAGCTCCCATATATATTTTCGTCCGATTTTATGTAAATGGTGCACCAATGTCCCTATATATCATTGGATTTGCACGAAATTTGGCATATCGTACTGAATTGGGTCTAGAATGATGTGTATTAAGTTTCGTGAAAATCGGTTCAGATTTAGATATAGCTCCCATATATATTTTCGTCCGATTTTAGGTATATAGTGCACCAAAGTCCCTATATATCATACGATTTGCATGCAATTTGGTATAGCCAACTGAATTGACTCTAGAATGATGTGGGCGAAGTTTCGCGAAAATCGGTTCAGATTAAGATATAGCTACCATATATATTTTCTTCCGATTTTATGTAAATGGTGCACCAATGTCCGTATATATCATTCGATTTGCATGAAATTTGGTATAGCGGACTGAATTGAGTCTAAAATGATTTGTGCGAAGTTTCGCGAAAATCGGTTCAGATTTAGATATAGCTCCAATATATATTGTCGTCCCATTTTATGTAAATGGTTCACCAATGTCCCTATATATCATTCGATTTGCATAAAATTTGGTATAGCGGACTGAATTGAGTCTAAAATGCTGTGTGTTTAGTTTTGTGACAACCGGTTCAGATTTAGATATAGCTCCCATATATATTTTTCTTCGATTTTATGTAAAGTTTGCACTAAAGACCCAAAGTTTTGCGGTTAACATATAATTTTGTTGAAATCGAGATTTCCATAAAGCTCCTATTTGTATGTTCGTTGGAGTTTAGGTAAATGTTGCAACGGTTGACACGAAACGTACCAATGGTCCTGTTGAATACACCCAAAGTGGTGAAGGGTATCATAAAGTTGGCCCTGTCCGACTTTACTACTTTCCTTACTGGTTTTTATTTAGATATTTGAAAATTTCAGACACATTTTTCAAGCGAATTTATGTGGCAAATCTTATACAGAATTCCGACAAAACTTTTTACTTGCGGGTTCCAAAAAGGCACAGTTCTACGTTTTTGTAAAGCAGAACCATCCGTTTTGAAATATGTAATGTTTTAGGCTTTTCAATAACTTTTCTGTTTTAATGTAAATTATAGATCCTAGTCCAATTTTTATAAAAGACTTTCTGCTATTTGAGTTCTGTATGGATCTCATCGATACCGATTTCCGTAATACCACAAAGTTTTTTGTCCAATAATCCATATAACGGTTCTATTTTGTTTTAAAGATCCTCATGGCGTCTACGGCCTCTACATCGTCGAAAATATTAGAAACTTGGGCTAAAGATATAAAATTCGTTGAAGTTCCATTTTTGGAGCAATCGACTAAAATCATGCAAGTCATCAAATTAACACAATATTTTTTTTGGTATTCAGTCTTTAACTTGGTTCATCAATTTATTCAAATTCATTATCTCTGATTTACTTTTTCAACAAAACTGGAGCAGCAGCGAAAGTGGTGGCTACTGGAGCAGCAACAGCGGCGGCAGGGGCAACAGCATAGGTGGCTGGGAAGGCAGCTGAGTGGGCAATGGTGTGGGCATTGTAGCTGCTGGCATAGGGAGCAACATAGGCAGCACTACCGACGACGGCAGAGGCAGTGTGGTAAGCCAAAGGAGCAGAGTAGGCCAACGGTGTAGAGTACGCCAAGGGAGTAGAGTATGCCACGGGAGCGGTATAAGCCAAAGGTGCAACTACACCGGGTTTAGCGGCAACAACAGCCAAGAGGGCGAAGAAGCAAACAGCGATCTAAAAATGATATAAAAATTAATATATTTAAAATATAATTCTTGAAAATTCAAAATAACTTACGAATTTGAACATTTTGTTGAGGTTTGGTTTGTTTGGTTTGATTGACAATTTAAAATTGATATTAGTTGATGAGAATTCCAATACTTTTATAACGAAAAGTTAAAATTATTTTCACACTTCTGAAACCACTTTAATATGCAAAACGCATGTGCTGAAGGGTTAAACCATTTGATAAACATAGTGGTGCTTTGAATTCGTTATATATCCATTATATGTGATGGCCGTGGGTGTGATCTAAAGAAATACAGCATAGTGTTATATTCCTTCACACTCACAATGTGACTATATGACATTCCATCATGTCAAATACAGTCAATATTTAGACTGCGACAAAAAACGTATTTTGGATATCATATAATCGCCCGCATATTGATTTAATTCTATCCCTATTGGTCAATATATAAATTTTTGTCTGACTGTCTGCCTTTGCCAACACCCTATTGTCACCTTCAACCTATATTTTATTTCTAGAATTTTCGAAACTATATAATGAATATTTATTAATTAATTCTAACCAATCATGAATCACATCCGTTAGACAAAAATTATAATTCCGGCGATTGCCCATTAGCTACCCCAACAACACCATCAGCAATAAAACTGTCTTTAATGGCTACTGATACCCTATGAAGTTAAGCCATAATTTATATTTGTACTCGTATGTGTGTATGTAAATTATGTATAACCGTTTTTCGTGCGCACCACCGTGCATAACAAACACAGCTGACATTTGTAAACTCTGTAGCGTCGTTTTGGTATAAAAATCACAATTTTCGATTTAGGAGGTATCAATTTTTAATTGTCAATCAAAACAAACAAACCAACCACCAAACCTCAACAAAATGTTCAAATTCGTAAGTTAAAACAAATATTCAGGATTTTATTTGGTTTTTTATTGATTTGAATATTTTCTTTTCCAATTATCTAGATCGCTGTCTGCTTCTTCGCCCTCTTGGCTGTTGCTGCCGCTAAACCCGGTGTAGTTGCTCCTTTGGCTTATACCGCTCCCTTGGCTTACTCTACACCTTTGGCCTACTCTGCTCCATTGGCTTACCACACTGCCCCCGCTGTTGTTGGCAGTGCTGCCTATGTTGCCCCATATGCCTCCAGCTACAATGCCCACACCATTGCCCACTCTGCTGCCTTCCCAGCCACCTACGCCGTTGCCCCTGCCGCCGCAGTTGCTGCTCCAGTAGCCACCACTTTCGCCGCTGCTCCAGTTTTGTTGAAGAAGTAAATCAGAGATAATGGATTTGAATAAAATTGTGACAAACAAAATGACAAACTGAAATTTAAATGTTATTATTTTTGAATGTTTTGAGAAAATTTGGGAAATTTTAGCTTTTCAAAGTCTAGTAGCAGCTACAAGCGTGGATTGTTAAATAACAATTTTCAAGGACTATATCCGGATTTTTAAAGACAATTTATAAGGGACTAAACATCTAAAACAATATTTATCAACGCCAAGATCACATATAGACATACATATGTATATTTTTTAAGAATATTTTCAAGGGATTGTCGCAGAATGAATTTTCAAGGGCTAGTTGCAGAAGGAAGCGTAGTGTTTTAAACACCATATTTTCAAGGTCTATTTTGGATTTTCTTAACTCTTTTTTTTTTTTTTTTTGAAAATCGTAGAATATTGTTCTGTTCACAGATTTAATGTAACTATCCTAAATATGATATGAACAAAATTTCGCATCGCTTCATCCTTGCATTCAGAAGATGCAGTATAGTATTTCTGAAAAATAAAAGACCAATAACAAGAAAATCAAATGTAAAATCGACGGAAAAATTATTTTAAATTATTCTCTAGATTCTTTTTTACAAGAATGAAAAATAATTCTGATGGCATAATTTGTAAAATTCGAATACAGAAATTATAACTGTACACATCTTTGTCCTCAATGACTACACAGAAAATAAAATTCGTATATTGTATGAATGTCGGGGTTTCTGCATTTTATGAATGCAATTCATAAATATTTAACACTAGAAAGACTGGGATTTTGTATATACCTATATTGCCTAAAATCGGCCAAAATGAGGTCATTCTGAAAGAATTTTTATTGTGTAAAGAATTTCTTAAACTTATTTTTAAATATTTTTAACATTATTTACAATCATACAAAATGTTGTTATTATTTGTTTTCGGTGGGAGGGCTCTCGAGTTTCTCTTTTTGAAAAATAAGAGCGCGGACAAAATGTTCGAAAAATAGTAAGTGCTTACTCTAAGAGTGAATATAAAATCTATATATATAAACCAGTGAGCGGAGCAGTATAGTCGGACGGGGCCGACCATACGATACCCTACACAACTACCACGGACCTCAAATTTTTTACGGATGTTTTTTTCCGAGCCTGGGCAATATTTCGTGATATTTTCAACCTCTTGCCCAACCGATCTTTCCCAAAAACAATAGGGGTCTTCATTGGCAAGAATTCATTCTACATGCAAAATTTCGTGAAGATTGCTCCATAACTGTGGCCTGTATCGTGTTTACAAATTATAATGGACAGACGGACGGACACACATGTCTAGATGGACTCAGCTAGTCGAGATATGACGATCGGTATACTTAAAGGTGGGTCTAGGACCAATATTTCGCGGCGTTACAAACTTTTGGGGCTGCACAAAGCTATAATACCCTGACAACATAGTTGTGTAGGGTATAAATAGAAAAAATTTGTTTGTTTGTATGTTACCGATAGACGCCAAAACCGTTGAACAGATCTTAATGAGATTTACACTGTATGTCGGGGTATGCCCTGAAAGTAACATAGGCTATATAAAGTTTTAAAATTCCGCGTGGATGCGGAGTTATAGCATCAACAGTAAACATACCTCAAAATTTCTGAACATGTAATATGCGTTTATCTTAGGAACGGTTACAGATGCCGTTTTCAAAATTTGCCTGAATAACGAAGGTGTAAATACACACCATCCATACAAAAATGAGCATGATAGGATCAACGGAAAATCCACTTTTTACTGCATTTTAAAAATCAGCATATTGAAAATCAGCAATAGAAAATATTGCAGTCCTATATAAGACTGCAATATTTTCTAAATTTCTAACTAACTAATTGATCATATCTAAATTTTAATTTGATAACTTCAGCAGGGGCAGCGAAGCGCCACGGGTCCTGCTATATAAATATAAAATTAATTTTGCTCCGATATGTGTGTTCGTTTTTGTTTCTAGAGTAGCAAACGGTTTTCGATGTTATTGTACTGATCTGGTCATATAAGAAATGTACTTTGTACAATAAAGTAAATAAAAGTAGTTTGATTATTTAATATTTCACAAGAGGTCAAAATTACCGATTATAGGCATAGCACATGTGAATACGGCGAATGGAAGAGGGGGGAAGCAGCTACTATGATCAATAAACGTAGTTCTATGTGGAACAAAAAATCACCAAATTTTAAAAAGCTGTGTCATAATATATACAATTGCTTTTGTACTTGAAATTGAAAAACGGCCAAACGGACCGCCTTCGGCAATCTAGTGTTAAATAATAAATTCTTAAACCATAAATTCTTGTCATAGAGAGTGGAAAAAACAACTATGGAATGTTTTTGGTGGTGGTGGCGTGTTTCTATGGCACAGAAATTCTTTGTCGTTTTAATTTTTATCCATCCATCCGTCCGTCTGCCGTCTGTTTGTGTTAAATTGAAAACAAAGTACAGGCCGCATTCATAATCCGATTTGGATGCAATTTGGCACAGCTCATTTAATGTAAATGGTGCTCCAAAAGTCGCTAAATATCTTTCGATTTGCACGAAATTTGGCATAGCGTACTGAATTGATGCTGGAATGATTTAGATATAGCTCCCTTATATTGTAGATTGATTTTAAGTAATTGACGCGCCAAGGCCAATATATGGATGATAGGAACAAAACCTACTGAAATTAGTATAACCTAACCTGTGACAAATTTCGTTGAAATCGGTTCATATTTGGATACAGCTTCCATATATATTTCGTCCGATTTTAAGTAATTGTGCATCAAACTCCTCATGTTTGACAGATTGACGTACAATTTTGCACAACGTACAAAATTGAGCATAGAATAACGTAGTTGCGTTTTTTAGCAGTACAGACATAAGTCGATTCACATTTAGATAAATATCACATATTTTATTTTATCCAATTTAATCATAATAGTCCTGTTTAATATACCCATAGTGGTGAAGGGTATCATATAGTCGGCGCTGTCCGACTTTACTACTTCCCTTACTGGTTTATCATGTCTCGTTTCTTCTTATTTACTTACACGTTCGTGCTCTGCGTCATTTAAACAATCATATACAATGTTAAACATTCGCTTGGTCTTGTTTTTCGTATCAACACTTATTTGATATATTGTATTTAGCATTAATATCGAAATAATTTGAAAAATACATATGCGAATTTTGTTAGAGTGGTCGATAAGAGTGACTGTTTGGTTTGGTTTTTTTCATGTGTATTTTTAGGAAGTGATTTCAAGGCCTAGCAGCTGCTTTAAGATTTTATTTTACGCCCAAAATATAACAATAATAATTTTTAGCTACTAAATGTTAGCGGATATCTGACATTATCCTCTATTACCTTTTTCTTACACTTTCCACTCTTCTATATCTTATCCTTTTGCAGGTACTCAGAACGAGCACAATGGTCTGAATAAGTCCGAGTAAAAGCAGGTGCTAGACAACTGGTGGCTGAACATCATTTCACTATCATAACGTAACCCACAGGGGGAAGGGGTCTGGTCAATGATCACATGTTTCATTCTATCCGTCGGTTTTTTTTAAAATCGTTATAGAGATCGCTGTATTTACGTCTGATATAGCCTCCCCATATAACTGTCCCGATCGATTTTCGGCATTTTACGATGATGCTGCAATACGCATTCAGATTTCTTGGAAGGTAAAATTTATTTTTTTAATGCCCGCATCATGGTGAATGGTATAAAATATTCGGTCCAGGCGGAAATAACCGTGTTTGTATTTGTTAAGAAAAAAAAACATAGAAAAATGTAATTTTTAAAGAGCATATCTCAAGGCTAGTGACAGTTTAGGCCACGATTTATTAAAAACAACATTTTTGAAGGTCATATTTTAGGAATAGGTGTAGATTTTTACAGACATTCCTCAAGAACATTTCTCCATTTTTCATAAAATTATGAAAATCGTACAAAATTGTTTGTCAATTTGGAGATCTCCAAATGCTCACATTTTAAAATAAAAACCAGTGAGCGGAGCAGTATAGTCGGACGGGGACGACCATATGATACCCTACACAACTTCCACGAAAAACTAACTTTCTGTGGATTTATATTCTGAGCTTGGGCAATATTTCGCGATATTTGATCCATCTGGACCAACTAGAGGACGACAATTATTACTAATGTTCAGTACAGCCCTTCTAATTACTTGTCCAGATTCCCATCCCTTGTATTATGATCTTCTTATTCCCATTGGAGCCTATAGATCGACTCGAAAAAACACAAAAAATTATGTTTTCGGTCCAGTTCATCACAATATAATTATCTGGTCGTCACCGTCGTCCTTCAGGTGTGAATCTTTACGCTATAGAATACAAATTTTATAATTTTTCACACAAAAGTCAAAGCAGGCATGCTTATTCTTTGGCCCGAACCCCTTCTCTATGTAAAAATTCGCGATGTTTGGGTCATAATTGCGGCCTCTAGAGCGACCAGAAAAAACGATAAAAATTAAGTATTTGGTCCATTTCATCCCCTAGATATTAACCGATAGGTGTCTTCATTGGGCAAAACCCATCCTACAAAATTTCGTGAAGATTGGTCCATAACTGTGGCCTGTATCGTGTTTACAAAATAAGATGGACAGACGGACGGACGGACACACATGTCCAGATCGACTCAGCTAGTCGAGATATGACGATCGGTATACTTAAAGGTTGGTCTAGGACCAACATTTCGCGGCGTTACAAACTCTTGGGGCTGCACAAAGCTATAATACCCTGACAACATAGTTGTGTAGGGTATAAAAATAAAACAATGTCTTTTAGATGTTTTTTCAAGTCATTTATTCAAATTCACATTCTCTGATTTACTTCTTCAACAAAAGAGGAGCGGCAAAGGGAGTGGCTACTGGAGCAGCAACAGCGGCGGGAGCTACGGCATAAGTGGCAGGGAAGGCAGCAGAGTGGGCAATGGTGTGGGCATTATAGCTGGAGGCATAGGGAGCAACATAAGCAGCGCTACCAACAACGGCGGGGGCAGCATGGTAAGCCAAGGAAGCAGAGTAGGCCAAAGGAGCGGAGTAGGCCACTGGGGCGGTATAAGCCAATGGAGCAACTACACCGGGTTTAGCGGCAGCCAAAGCCAAAATGGCAAAGAAGCAAACAGCGATCTAAAAAAACAATAAAATAATCTTTAAATTAATACAACATACCAAAAATATTGAATGATTTTCAATTAACTTACGAATTTGAACATTTTGTAGAAGTTTTCGATTTGTTGGACAATTTGAAATTGATAACATATAGCGAGAAAATTCGGATTTTTATAAGAAAACTGCTTCAAAATGATTCCACATGAATTTGAAAGTTATGATTTTGTTTCGAATTTAGAATTCATTGAAGTAAACAAAATAAAATCAAGGTTCTTGGATGTTCTTGAATTCAAGTGATTTGTAAAAAAAAAATCAAAATAACACCATGGGAATATGAATAAATGTTGCCTTCAATTCGATTTTTTTTTTCAGTATTTCCCCAAAACAAACACTTTACCTATTTGGAATGTTGTTCATTTTCATACCATTGTCAAATTAACATTAATAACCTTTAGAAAAAACGTTTTATTGTTTTTATTGCACTATATAATGTTAACCAAAAATAGTAACTGCTATGGCTACTGGTTTTGATTTGTTTCCTATAAACCAAATACTTTACTATGTACTTGTATGTTTGTGTGTCTGTAGTCTGTTGCCACAGTGCAATAACCTTTAACGCACCTGACCAGCATAGCAAATGAATTAGAGTCGTTTGTGGTCAAATAATTGCAATTAGTATAAAAGTCATTGTTCGTCATCGGTTTATCATCAATTTCTTATTGTCAATCGATAAAGAAACCACAACAAACACACAACCTCAAAATGTTCAAATTCGTAAGTTACGCATACAATTTCGGCGATAAAAAAAAAACAAATATTTTAATTTTTTATTCTTATATTTCTAGATCGCTGTTTGCTTCTTCGCCCTCTTGGCTTTGGCTGCCGCTAAACCCGGTGTTGTTGCTCCTTTGGCTTATACCGCCCCAGTGGCTTACTCCGCTCCTTTGGCGTACTCTGCTCCCTTGGCTTACCATGCTGCCCCCGCCGTTGTTGGTAGCGCCGCCTATGTTGCCCCATATGCCTCCAGCTATAATGCCCACACCATTGCCCACTCTGCTGCTTTCCCTGCCACTTATGCCGTAGCACCCGCCGCTGTTGCTGCTCCAGTAGCCACTCCCTTTGCCGCCCCCCTTTTGTTGAAGAAGTAAATCAGAGAATGTGAATTTGAATAAAGACCTCCATTGACAATTGAAATACAAACCGTTTTTTTATTTTCAAACGGAAAAGATAGGAATCAGATATAGTTTATTAAAAGATATTGCTAGAATTTTTTAAAGAATATTCTTTTTCAAAAAGTATAAGGGTTTATTTTTTAACAAACACTGTACACATGGGTTTCTTTTAAGTCTCTTCTTAAATCTATAGCGTGGTTTTTAACCCTACACCACTCTGTGGTACAGGGTATTATGTCTTTGTGCATATGTTTGTAACAGGCAAAAGGAAACGAAATAGACACATGGTTCCTTTTGAGAATATGCATAGAATCACTTTCTGAGTCGATTTATGCATGACCGTCCGTCCGTCTGTCTGTCGATGTTAAATTGTAAACAAAGTACAGGTCGCATTTATAATCCGAATTGGATGAAATTTGGCATAGGTCACTTATTTGGCCCAAGTACAAACCCTATTGAAATTGGGAAAAATTGGTTCAGATTTAAATATAGCTCCCATATATATTTTCGTCCAATTTAATGTAAACGGTCCCTATATATTTGTCGATTTGCACGAAATTTGGTATAGCGTAGTGAATTAGGTCTAGAATGATGTGCGTCAAGTTTCGTGAAAATCGGTTCAAATTTGGATATAGCTCCCATATATATTTTCGTACGAAATTTGGCACCGATGTGTGTAAGGTAAATGGTGTACTAAAGTCCCTATATACCTTTCGATTTGCACGAAATTTGGCACAGCGTACTGAATTAAATCTAGAACGATCTGTGTTATATTTCGTGAAAATCGGTTCTGATTTAGATATAGCTCCCATATATACTTTCGTCCGATTTAATGTAAATAGTGCACCAAAGTCCCTATATATCCTTCGAATTTCACGAAATTTGGCATAGCATTCTGAATTAAGCCTAGAACAATGTGTGTTACATTTCGTGAATATCGGTTCAGATTTAGATATAACTCCCATATATATTTTAGTCCGATTTTAGGTAAATAGTGCACCAAAGTCCCTATATGTCCTTCGATTTGCACTAAATTTGGCATAGAGTACTGAAGACTAGAAATATGTGAGTATAGATCCCATATATATTTTCGTCCGATTTTATGTAAATGGTGCACTAAAGTATCTATATATCCTTCCATTTGCACGAAATTTGGATTTATAAGTAAATGAAGAACTCAAAATGTGGCCGAATGCAAAAACATACTGAAATTAGTGTAACCAAACATGTGACAAGTTTCGATGAAATCGGTTTAGATTTCGTATTTTGCTTTAAATTTATTTACATAATTTTGTCCCATTGTTAGAAGAAACTCTATATCTGACCAAAATTTAGTATAGGTTGCAGAATGACATGTTTAATTTCATGTTGATGGTCCTTCAAAAATGCGACGTCTGTTAGGATTCCATCTGTTGAATATACCCAAAGTGGTGACGGATATCATATAGTCGGCCCCGTCTGACTTTACTACTTTCCTTACTCGTTTTTTAATTTTTTTATAATCTAAAAAGTTGGATTATTTGATTTTTTCAAAATTATTTCGGATTTATTAAACATTGGTCATAGATCCCCCTTAAATATACCGATCGTCATATCTTGAGTAGCCGAGTCGATCTAGACATGTGTGTCCGTCCATCCGTCTGTCCATTATAATTTGTAAACACGATACAGGCCACAGTTATGAACCAATCTTCACGAATTTTTTAAAATTTTTAGTAATGATCCGTTAATATTTAGGGGATAAAATGAACCAAAAACTTTATTTTTGTCTGATTTTCTGGTCGCTCCTGAGGCCGCAATTATGACTCAAACATCGCGAATTTTTGCGTGGTCATGGGGATTGGGCCAAAGAATAAGCCTGCCTGGTAATGATCGGTCAATATTTAGCCGGTCAAATGGACCCTAACTTTTGTGTGAAAAATTACAAAATTTTTATGGCCTGAAGGGTATTGACCTGAGAAGTTAACAATATATCCAAGAGGAGTAGTTGACCTTTAAATTGATACCAATTATATTGTCGTGTGTACTCAGATGTGGGAGTTACACTTAAATATTTACAGGTGCTTACATGAATACGTATTAAACAATTACCACACTAGAGGAAATTGTCCATTAGTATCCAGGTATAGTCAAGGACAATGCCTATAATTTTCGGCCATGATTAGATAATAATATTGGGATGAAATGGGCCGAAAATTTAATTCTTTGTGTTTTTTTTCGAGTCGATTTATAGGCCACAATTGAAAGCTGAACATCACAGCACAACCCACGGTGAAGGGAATCTGGGCAAGTAATTAGAAGGGCTGTACTGAATATTAGTAATATTTGTTGACCTCTAGTCGGTCAATAGGTTGAAAATAGGGCGCCGTCCGACTATACTGCTCCGCTCACTGATTTATATTATTATTTTTTTTTTAACTCTGAGTGAAAAACTTTTTTCGAAAACTAAGCGTGGATTTGATAAAGGTTTTATTTCATTTTTTGTGTCGTTTTCTTTAAGATTAAGTGTGGATTTTTTAACATTTCCAAGAGTTGATTTTTTAAAAAATATTTATAAGTATGGATATTTTTAAAAGAATATTTCTAAGAGTGGATTTTTTTTATTCACCCCTTAGGCTAATAACGTGTCGAACCACAACAAAAATAGCCACTTGGCTATAAAGTACCAGTATATCAGTAAGTTTTGAAATTTTTTCATCTTTTCCATTTTTCACGGTATAACTTTTATAAACTTTAAATTGAAGTGTTTTTTTTTTTTTTGCACATTCACTCATCTCTAGAATAAACTAATTACCAGTTCAGGAGTGAGTCAATTATCAGCATATCCTGAATCATTTTGTTACCTTGACACAGCCTAAGGGCATGTGAATGTGTTATATTGTGACCATGATATTAAGTAGAACCGCCCCATGGGGGATGGGATGGAAAAATACATCAATTTCAAGGACACAGGAAACCACACAATATCAACAATATCATATCGGCAGGATAATTTTATGAACTGCAACATAGTCCGTTGAGGTTATTGCGAACTACGCCTAAATATGAACTCATATTTAGCAATTCTGGGAAGAAGCAAAAGGTATTTTAATTGGAGAATGTTCATATCTAGTCAAAAATGTAATTCTGTGTCCATCTTATTTTCTTTGAAACATTGACATAATACACTGTACCAAAGTGCAGCCAGCGTAGGACATAAAAATGTCTCTGAATAATATGGGAATTATGTGTATGTGCAAGGCAAAACATACACACCACCCAACATTTTCAGGATTTTTAAAATGTAAAAGCCTTATAAAAATTATGTTTTTTTTCACGTTCGGAATACGCGACCATTGATTTTGTATTTGAAGCAAACGTCAACTGTGCATTAACTTGTACGATTTTTTATAGGCATTTTTTTAACTCTTTTACATGAATGAAGTGAAAATCGACAACATCGTATGCTCCACTACTAAGTTAAAAACACATTCTGACATAATCTAAAAAGTTAGTTTTCCCTGAATATTGGAGGACATTTTGTTTTGTTTTTTTATATACATTTTATTCAGTAACAGATAAATTCACCAGTTGTGAAAGCGAATTCAAGGGAAAAGTTCCGATGTGGGATTTAAAATATGGTAACAAAAGTAAATGTCATCTAAATCGGATTAACATTTGTTCATAACACCAACACCTATTTGCAAAATATTGCAATGACAAAAAAGTATATTCTGATGGCCAAAATATTTTTATATTGATGGTAAGCTGCTATAAAATTGACAACACACAAAATTCTCCATTAGGATTGCAGTATGTATGAATATATTTTTGCAAAATCGGATACTCTATTCGATTCATATGAACATTACAAATTTGAAAATGTTTACCGTTTGGGGATAAGGTAATAGGTCCATAAACAGCTGTGGATTTTTTAAAATATTTTCTCATTA